CCGCCGGTCACGGCTGCCCGGACACGATTCCCTACGAGGTCACGCCGCCTAGGAAAAAACTCTGCACCGTTCACCACCACAGCCAACAGTCGACGAATCCCATCGCCAACTCCTCGTCCAGGAGTAGCGCCTCGGCGGACGCCGGCGACTCTAATTCGCAGAGCCCGACTTCCTCCATGCTGGAGCAGAACTCGAAGGCCGCGACCCTCGACACCAGGGCGCTTGCCGAAGCATCTCGTAATTTGACGCAGAAATTGAAGCAGCTCTCCTCTGAGGTACTCACCTCGCGGGTCGACCTCGCAGAGGTATAAATTATTACCGATGCCAGTTCTCCCTGTGTACACCGCTATATTTCATCAGTTACTTGGCGCGGCGACCTCTGTTAGGGTCCTAAGAGACGCTCTGTAGTTTATCTTCTCAACGAGGATGAAAATGAAATTACTCGACGCCCCCTATGTCGCATAGGGTAGAGATATTGCACTGTCGGATTCTCTTAAGTCCTTAAGCACGACGTTGTCTCGTTCCCATCGTTTCATTTTGATAGAGGAAGACACGACGATTGTTGAGTCTACTGGAAGAGAAACTTTAGTAAGAACTTGTACCAATGTCCATGGACTGATAGACACAGCTTGTTAGCTGTAAACGTTTGCGAAGCAAAAAAGTAGCATGACAATCGAGTGTTTTCGTCTGGTCTCTATTTAACGATAGGTTACATTAACCAGCCGACGCGCACGGTCACGTAAGAAACGTTTTATTCTTTGAATACAGGAGAACGCGAGACGCAGGCAAGGCGCGATAATAGAAAGTATGCATCACCACGGAAAGGGTGTATACTCTGGCACGTTCAGCGGAACCTTGAACCCGGCACTGCAAGACAGGCACGGCCGGCCGAAACGGGCCATAAGCACCATCATCCACATTCTCAATGATCTGCTGTGCGCCACGCCAGCCGCCACCACGGGCCATTACAGGCATCACCACAGGCATTCTAATGGCCGCCAACTGTCCTCGGCGTTTCCGTCCTCCGCTGGAACAACAACCACCGTGAACGGCTCCTCCACGCCTACCGGGTGTCACGAGACGTCCACATCCGAATATCCCACCGGTATTGAATCTCTCGCAGAGCGTTGCCGCTCGCAGAGTGCCTGTACTTGTTTATTGTAATCGCTCGAACCAATTGCTTCTATCGATTACCAATCATCCGCGTGCTTCAGCTCTCTCTCTCCCTCTCTCCCCCTCTCTCTCACAGATTGTAACGTGACTGATCTTTTCACAGAGGAACTGTCGAAGGAGAACGAAGCAACGAAAGGGAAGATGAGGCGTCTGCGCTTAGTGATGGAGCAACGGCGCGCCAAGAGGAAAGCCAGACGCCAGGCAAGAGCAGCGCCGTACACGACTCAATGGGCAGCGGTGACGCCCGATCCAGACCCGAACCACGACCCGAAAACGTCGAGTGCAGCGACCGCGAACCCGACGGAACCGCAGAACGAGCCGGAACTGCAGCCGTGCAGCCCGGAGCCGGTCGTAGCTTGAACGGGGAGTCGCTGCGGGCGGCAACTTTTTTTTTTCTTCCGTCGTGAATGCAATACCTTTGTTTACTTGTTCTTCTTTTTGTTGATTAATCGCACCGATTCGTTTAACCGATGGCAGACTAGATCGCTCTCGCGCCTGCTCCAATGGCAAACGACAAGCAGCGTGTGCCTCGAAAGTCGAGGTCTGTTCCATTTGTTAATATATCGCGTGCCGCGCGCGTACAACCAGCTTCTCTCTCCGTGGGAAATACACAGTTACGCGCGATTCGCGGCTTGAGAATTTTTCTGTAGATTATAATTGTCTCGTCCATATACGGTGCGGTATATATTTCAACTAATCGTTTAAACTGTATTTTCAATTTCGAATAGCACAGTCGATTACGAGATCTACTCTCTCGAGGAGACGCGTTGAGATTTTTACCGTTGGAATTCCTCCGTTTCAGGGGCTGCTGGCTGTACGCGCGCCGCTCGGTACTTTGTTACAATCGTTTTATATATTCGGATTCTATGCGGTGCAAAAGCGAAAACCGGGGGGGAAATGTGTGACACAGGAACGTGTTCGAGAGCGGGAATTCGTCGATTTTTTCGAAGCGTTGCCGTGTTCCTTTCGTTACGGAGACTAACGGCCGGGGAAAGTATCTTATGTAGAGAGACGATACGGTTAAGAGAATCTAATGCTGTACGTCACGCGATACTGTATATTATCATTGACTCTCGAGACTGTTCGAAACAGTTCTCTGACTGCGAACACACACACACACGAGATACGCAGAAAAATTCTCCCGCAGTATTGCCTGACGATTATGATACACGTACCTTGAAGTGCCCGCGCGAACACGCCCGGGCATGTTAGTTTGTATAGTCCAATAACGGCACTTCGAGACTCTCACGGAACCGACGAAAATTAGCAATATTAAGACGCGAACGGGGGAAAAACTGCGTGCGCCGTGTGCGTCTGTTAAGCACACACACACACACACACACACACACACACACACGGTACATTATAAAAAAATGATAATATTACCGGTACCGAGGGATTTTCGCTCGAACCGATATCACCGTTCGTGATCACTATTTTACGGGGCGCGCGGAGTCGTTGTATAAAGGTGATTGAACTCTGTTCGACTATACTCAGGACTTGATCGTAGCTGACAATAATTGCGAGTCTACAGCACGCGCCACGTATACCCTAAACACAATCGTGGAACGAACGGCGAAACGATAGCGGAAATTCTGATTGATCTCTCTCGCCTTACGGTTCCTTTCGTTGGACCTCGGACGGTGGTCTCTTCGTTGTTGACGATTCGTTGTTAGAAGAATAAAATAAGGTTAGACGATTATTTAAACGTTTTCGAATGTTCGAACGCGAGTACACGCGCGTGAACCGTTTCATTTGTGATGACGTTTATGTGATAGTATC